CTGTTAATAAAATGTGTATTTGATAATTTCCATTTCGTTTTTGCGCTCATAGTGATTTCGGCTAGGACGCACCGACTACACATTTCGGGTGTCGGTGCAACTGGTATATTCGGCTGGTTAAATGGTGCAGTTCCTCGCCAGTGTCACATGAGGCCTGTTCTTTTTGGCTGAACTTTTGCACCAGTTCATCTTTCTTCCTCTTCTTTCCTCCTGGAGAGAAAAGGAAGAAAGATGAACTGGTGCAAAAATTCAACCAAAAAGAACAGGCTTATGTTCGTCTGAACTCGGTACACCACGCAAGTGTACACAAAGTGGCCCCGACAAATTTGTTGGGGCCAGTTGATATAATTGTCGGGCTTGGTGCTTTCATGAGACACTGAAAAGCAGCGTGTGTGTAATCACGTGGTATTAATTTTGTCGCTAGTGTCTGATTTTGGGTACGGTCTACTTGATGCTTCGAAACTTTTATTTGAAGAAAGAAAATAAGTAATTATAAGGTTCCGTATGTATAAAACAATATGACAATCAAAAAGGGCATAGAATCAATATTTAAACAAACAATTTTAATTAAATTAGAATCATAAAGTTAACAAACGTTTCGACTCCGATCGGGTCATTTTCAATGTTACAAAGGTAAATCATAAATAAAAGTACAACTATACAATGTTAAATAAATGAAAAAACCATAACTATAACAATTCGTTAAATTGCCAGCAAATTCTTGTCTTTACTATATAAAAAATATCCTTAATCTTTAATTACAGTTACATCTTAAATAAAAATGAATATGGTTAAATAATAACGTTTCATAAAATCGTAAGCGTAATCTTATCGTTGAAATAAAAAGCGTAAGTTATCCATTTGATATTTTAATCTAAGTTGCGAATGAAATCGTATCTGAGAAAGAACAATTCAAAACTTGGGATCTAAGGTTATATAATATATAAAGAATATTGTCCATAATGTGTAACACAAAGTCATTTACCTTGTCGGTGAAATATAATTACACAATAAATGTGTCAGTAAAATATAAAAAAATCCAATAATGCGTCAGTGAGATGTAAAAAATCCAGAAATGTGTTATAATTTTGCGTGTAACTATATGTTATAACTTTATTAAAAATGTAAAATATTTTGTACTGATGTACGCGACATACTCTTGATCAAGTCAAATAATGTAATGTAACGGCAGAATGTCAGGAGAGGACAAGAAACCGTGATAAAATTAAGAAATGGAAAGGGAATGTATCATGTTAGTATATGTATGTGTCAAGCAATGACTCTGTATCCGTTTATCTGTTTATACCGTGTGTTTGCTTCTTAATGTGAACCATCTCAGAAATTAATCTTTTTCTATAAGAAGGTTCTATATCTAATATTTTCACGCTATTCCATTTAAAATCTTGATTCGTTTCAATTCTGTGATTCGTTATTACAGATGGAGATCTTGAGAATTTGTTAATGTCAGAAACATGTTGGTGTACTCTTGTTTTTAATTGTCTCATTGGATTACATTATTTGACTTGATCAAGAGTGTGTCGCGTATATCAGTGCAAAATATTTTAAAGTTACAACATATAGTTACAACGCAAAATTATAACACATTTCTGGATTTTTACATCTCACTGACGCATTATTGGATTTTTTTACATTTCACTGACACATTATCGTGTAATTATATTTCACCGACAAGATACGATTTCATTCGCAACTTAGATTAAAATATCAAATGGACAACTTACGCTTTTTATTTCAACGACAAGATTATGCTTACGATTTTATGAAACGTTATTATTTAACCATATTCATTTTTATTTAAGATGTAACTGTAATTAAAGATTAAGGATATTTTTTATATAGTAAAGACAAGAATTTGCTGGCAATTTAACGAATTGTTATAGTTATGGTTTTTTCATTTATTTAACATTGTATAGTTGTACTTTTATTTATGATTTACCTTTGTAACATTGAAAATGACCCGATCGGAGTCGAAACGTTTGTTAACTTTATGATTCTAATTTAATTAAAATTGTTTGTTTAAATATTGGTTCTACGCCCTTTTTGATTGTCATATTGTTTTATACATACGGAACCTTATAATTATACATGAAGTAAGAAGTAAGAGTAAGAAATTAACCAATTACAATCGATTATTCTTCTCAGATTTGATTGTAATTGATCAATTTTTTACTCTTCTTACTTCATGTATTGTAGACGACGGTTAAGTATTTGCGCAACGTCCGTTCCATCAGAAAGATTATTCTCTACAGCAGGATTAATTATAACAAAACATAGAAATAGATTATGCGAGGAATCAGCGAAATCCCTACTTTGTTTAAATTCATGTTCAATATCTAAAATTTTATTTGGCGAATAATAATTATAATTGGCGCAATAAAGTGTTTGAATAATAAAAAAATGTGATTCGTGTGTTATTTGATTTAGAATTAGTATTATATTAGATATAGTTTAATGTGATCTAGGCTTTATTGCACACATTTGATATTATTAATCATGTTTGTATTATTTGTTTAGGAAAACAATTACAGTAATTCCGTAGGTATATACGGTGTACATCATTTTATGTTGTGGCATATGATTGCGCTACTATTACATTGACAAATCGATTCAACTGACAGTAGTTTTATTTTACTCACTCCTATTTTTTCTGATTTCTGCGCCATAAATCCTATATAATTTCTATAATTTTTCGAGACACGAGATTTTCAAGAATCTCGAGTCTAAAATCTTGTCTTGTCTTTAAACTCTCCGCGCAAATCTCGTTTCGATCTCGTCTTGAAATTCGGGACGAGACAAGACAAGATTCTCGAAATCTCGAATCTTGCGACATCCCTACTCACTGTTTCATCGGACATTATTCGACGCGTTTTTGCATGAAATGAAAGAATCTGGCAAAAAAAGCGTCGCTCTGCCTTATGATCTAAGATATTAAGCGTTAAAGTTGATGACTACTGAGGTTAGGAAATCTGTCACAGAGGCAAAATGAGGTCTATAATTGTATGAGTGATTTATGTTCCACATGGGTTTCGACTTCTTTAATGTAATTTTTAATTTTCGCTCTACCTTTTTTTATGTTCTATCAATATTAATTCGTCATCGTCACTTGATAACGATAATGTCAAAAATTTCATGAGCATACATAAATCACTCATGATAAACTTAGAATTGACGCTACAAGGATATCAATTTTCAGACAAAGGCTATGCCTGGCTAGAGTCCCTATACTATAAATATATATAATATATTTATATATATATGTTTACATATGTAAAATATGTAAAATATATTAAAATTTTCAACATTTTTGAAAAAATTTTACATAGGCGATTAATGATCTCCTATTTACTAGTGATCGGTACATTAGTGAAGCTACATTGGACGCGCATGCGTCAGAAATCCGGCCCATCTAAAGTCTTGTGTCCACGATGCTAGAAATCGGTCCGAGACCTCGGATGAAGAAAGAATTGACCAATCGCAATGGTCATGTGATAAAATTATTCAAATGTGATTTGTTAATTTTTTCTCTGTCCGAGATCTCGGACCGATTTCTAGCATCGTGGACACAAGGCTTTACAACACTGCCCGAAATGTGCAGTCGGTGCGTCCCAGCCGAAATCACTATGAGTGTAAAAACGAAATGGAAATTATTAAATACATGTTTTATTGACAATATAATAAAATATATTGGGGATTGTACGATTTAATCTGTTTTTAATACATATTTTTACGGCAATTGTGTATGACAGTTTTATGTGCACTAGTGCATCCCAGCCGAAATCACTATAAAAAAACGTTTATTTTAACGTTTGAAGAAACATTTTTTTAACGTTAAAAAAATGTTTATTTAACGTTTGAAGAAACGTTTTTTAACGTTAAAAAAACGTTTTTTAATGTTAAAATTATTTAAACCAAATAAAAAAAAATAGCAGACACAATGTAGAATCTTTTTTTAATTTACTTTTTCATCAACGGTGTCTGCAACCTTAGACAACTAATTTTATTAATAAATTCTAATTTTTAATTATAATATATTTTAATCTTTTTCACTTACCGGCTGAGTTTTAAACCTAGGATCTCGGTGTCATGAGTCTCATACTTTATCCATTACGCCATTTATAATTGTCGATACACATAGTTCTTATTGTCCATATATGGTACACTTGACGCAATTATATTGTGTTGTTAACTTATCTTTCGTGATTATATTTTATTATTCCGACACATATTTTATTAATTTAAGTTTTAAAAAGTAATGACATTTTTTACACATCTATAATAAATGTCAGATAACCGTTAAATCAACATTTAAAAAACAGTTAATAAACATTAAATAAATATTTCTTTAAATCATTATTTCAAACAAATAATTAATGTGAAATGAACATTTACTAAACGTCAAATTAACGTAAAATAAATGTTTCTTATCACCACATTTTAAATGAATAAATAATGTAAAATAAACATTTTATAAACGTAAAAGAACCGTTTAAAAAATGTTTTCTCAAATCATCATTTCAAATGAATAATGAATGTAAAATAAACATTTAATAAACGTCAAATTAATGTGAAATAAATGTTTCTTATCACCACATTTTAAATGAATAAATAATGTAAAATAAACGTTTTATAAACGTTAAAAAATGTTTAAAAAATGTTTTTTTAAACCATTATTTTAAATGAACAATGAATGTAAAATAAACATGTAATAAACGTTAAATAAATGTTTAAGAAATATTTTTTAACCATTATTTCAAATAAATAATTAATGTTAAATAAACGTTTAATAAACATTAAATAAACGTTTGAAAAATGTTTTTTCAAACATTTATTTCAAATGAAATGTTATAATATAAAATAAACGTTTAATAAACGTTAAATAAACGTTAAATTAATGAATTTTGAAAACAAATCGTAAAAAATATAAAATTAATGAAAAATAAACGTTTAAAAAACATTTTAAAAACATTGTCTGCTGATTGGGGAGTATGAAAACGATGTTAACAGTTCAAACGCTCGACGGATAATTAGACGTTAAAACAGATAAAATCACATTTGAAAAACAAAGTACGCAATCGTAAAAAAACTCGACGATAATAAAATTGGGATTAAATTTTCATGTAATAAGAAGGAGGAAGCACTACGTCTTTTTAAATAAATTCTCATATAGCGTGCCAAGAGATAAAGTATCATTTTGTAAATACCATGTTTTTGTTTTTTATGTAAATCCATGTTTTTATTTTTTTATGTAAATTTTTTATGTAAAGAAATATTTATTTCTGACAATAGTCTTTTATTTACAATTTTTTACAACCTCTATAGATTACATTAGAGGTTTGTTTTCTGTGGCTGAACCAGTGTACACTTTTGAAACTTAAATCGAAATAGGTATATGTTTGATATTTGTCAAAAGCAAGAAAGAGATTTCTAGTGCAGTCTAGTGCAAGAACAGAAAATAAACCATATAATTTGATGACGTAGGATTCACCGTTATCACCGATAATCATAATGTAAGATTGAAAAAAATAGCAATCAATAAATTATCAGTATAGCTATTGTTTTATTTGAGATATGTTGATGATATCATTTTCGCGCTTCCATCTGATACTATAAATGATACTTTGAATACTTTTAATTCTTTACATACGAGATTACAATTTACTTTGGGGGTTGGTACGGGAGATAGATTGAGTTTTCTAGACACAACACTTATCATAATCAGAGAATTATATTTGACACTTATCATAAAAAGACATTCTCAGGAAGGTTTCTTAACTTCTATTCAAATTATCCTCTTTGCCACAAAAAAGGCACAATTATCAGCTTCGTAGACAAAATTATCCTATTATCACATCCATGGTTTCAACAAAAAAATTTAATAGATGCTATCCACATTTTCCTAGATAACTATTATCCTTTATCTTTTATCTTTTCTACAATTGAACAAAGATTAAAGTTCCATATACATAATAAACATATTACACGTAATATACAAGTGAAAGACAAATATTTTACGATTCTTTACGTCAAGTCTATTTCGGAAAGTTTTCTTCCTATTTCCAGTATGTTTCATTGTAAAGTAGCCTTTATCATCCCTAACACATTAAAAAGTCTTATTAAGAGAGGAAAAGATGAGTTGGAATTTCTATCCAACCAGAACGTTGTAGGGTAGACCGGGGAGTACAGGGTCACTTTTGACATTTTTTGCTATAAAATAAAGAATATTTAACTCACACAGGTGTTGATGTTTTTCGAAACTAAAGTCCTTTGACTATAAAATACATGCAAGAAAGTATGCATATATATTTATTACAAAGATATCGTAAATTTTACAGAGGAAGTCATTCGGCACTTCTTACCCCATATGTGGGGCAAGTTCCACATAATGGGGTAAAAAGTACCAATACTAATATATTACGTTTGAACTATTTTCAGAGATAAAAATAGGTATATACTAGAGAGTTTTTTTATTATAAGGTGGGTTTTTATTATTAAGAGGGTTTTGGTAACAATATAATAGAAATATTTCAGTTTTAACAGAAAATTAAATTATTAATGTTTTCTTAACCTAAGACAAACTTTGAAAAGAAGAAACAAAACTAGCACTATATCGTGCTCGAAAACAAATAAGAATAGTCTTTCCTCTTACACTTGATTTTTTAAGTCATTTTGACCTTAATAAAAAATTAAATCAGTCTTCCAATAATGGATGATTATAACGAATTTGAAAAAATATTTGTTATAAAAAGATAATTAAGCGATAAAATCATTCGTCATCATTATTACAGTAATATAGACGCGTCGAATAAGCCTAATTTCATCGAAATCGGAGATGAAAGTCGCATTCTGAATAATTTACCTGCCTCTCTGCGTAACGAACACCACTAATGCTAATTCTACAATGAGTCGATAATCGAAAGTAATCGGTAACGTTTCGTATTGTTGGCTATTGATCAACTTCACTGATAAGATTATCGACTTAGGATTATCGACTTGTTATAGAATCAACATTAATGAATACAGAGCAATCATGGCACTTTTACCCCAACAACTATGGCACTTTGTACCCCAACAAGTCACGTAAACTTTGCGGCATTGTTATTAAAAAACTATAATAGAAATAACAATTCTAATAATCACACTGTTAAAACAATAGAATAAGATTAATAAATACACTTATTTAATCTATCTAGGTGCAAAAATGATTCCTTCAGATCAAAATAACTGCGGCGCTAATATCTTACTTTTGGCTCTCAAACACTTGGGCACATCCGTGCAAGTTTCCTGACGGTTATTAGGCAGTAACGAACTGTGTGGCGGAATTTTCTAGTGAATGCCTTATTACCGAGATACAAGGGGTGGACCTTTTTCCCCGGGGACCTTTATTCCCCGGTCTACCCTATATAAAATTTCTTGTGATGATTGTGAGGGGAGCTATGTTGGTCAGACTAAAAGAAAGTTGAGTACGAGGTTGCATGAACATATATCTGATATTAGGAAGAGTACTGGTTCTCCTACTGTCATAACTGATCATCGTGTCAATTTTGACCACAATTTTAGATGGAATGATGCGAGAATTTTAAATTGCGAATCAAGAGACACGGCAGTGTCTCGCGCCAAGTGGACGCGCAGCGCGAAACACGCGTGTCTTTATGCGAGTTAGCGAGTTGCGGGCATCCGAGCATCCGAAATTCTCGGACTTTTTAATAAAGGCTAGACCGATCGAGTTCTGAACATGAGCTCCATCGACAGTTTGGGTCCGAGTTATATAATAAACGTTTATTTTTGTACCTCTATGTGTCCCACGAATGGAGATATCGTGATGCGAAATCCGAAATGTCAAAATTTTATGTAAGATACGTCGCCTCAAAAAGTCATCTCCTTTTCATATTTTCGACGGTAGATGGCACTCGTTTATTGCTGTCATTTACCGACTTATTTATCTATAGTTTCATTAGTACTGTATTATGTATCGACATTTCACTGTATAGTCACTTTAATACTTTAATAAATTACTTTTAAATTAAAAGTGTATAAAAATATAAAACAGGCCGCTTGATGTGTGAACATCATTACGTATGTATCCATGCCGTTTATAGCCTCGCGGATTTGGTAACGGCACAAATATGTATATACGCAATGACGTTCACACGTTAAGCGGTCAAGCGGCCCATTTTAAATTTTTATATGCTTTAGATTAAAATTACTCAGAAACTAAAGCCGCAATCAAAGATCTAAAAACACTTTTATTATATGTCGTCGGTATCTTTCGATTGTGCGATCAGTCCGAATAAAATTGGTGCAGTCGATACCGAGATCTGGAGATCATTTCCCAAAAAGGGACTATTTCAGCTTTTCAAATTTTTTCA